TTTCCAAACTTTTGATTAAACATTTTTCAGCATTATTTTAATTGATATTTTAAGACTTTTGAAAAAAAACATTTTTCAGCCAAGACAATCTCTCTAGAGTGGATTTTGGTAGTTGACATGTGGCTCTCAGATACAAAACTTATGCTTAGAATCAATGCTGAAGCAATAAAATGATGAATGTTGAGGCTCTTTGGAGATTCAACATCCTGAAGTGAATGATCAGATCTTCTGAAGGCCTTTCTTCCACATGCAGGAACAAGTAGATATTTTTCGCCTCTGAGATTGTTTCTCTCAAAGCAAAGGGTTGTCTCGCTTGAGACAAGTTTTCTTAAAAAAATTATCTCGCTTGAGAGTTTTTGCTAAAAAACTTTTTGTTTCACTTGAGATAATTTCTCTAAAAAAAATTTCATCTCACTTGAGACATTTTTTCTTTGAGATACAAATTTTGAGTTTATTTCACTTGAAACAAAGTTGATCTCACTTGATATTATTTTTCTCAAAACAAACATTGTCTCACTTGAGGCAATCTTTCTTAAGAAAAACTTTGAAATTGTTTCTCTTGAAAAAACTTTAAGATCGTTTCCCTCGAAATGAATTTTGTCTCTCTCGAGACAATTTCTCTTGAAACACCCATCTTTGAGATTGTTTCCCTTGAAACAAATTTTTTCTCCCTTGAGACAGTTTCTCTTGAAACATCATCTTTGACATTATTTCCTTTGAAACAAATTTTATCCCTTTTGAGACAGATTCTCTTGAAACACCCATATTTGAGATCATTTCCCTTGAAATGAATTTTATCTCTCTTGAGACTGTTTCTCTTGAAACACCCATATATGAGATATTTTCCCTTGAAACGAATTTTGTCTCCCTTGAGACAGTTTCTCTCGAAACACATTATCTTTGAGTATGTTTCCCTTGAAACAAATTTTGTCTCTCTTGAGACAGTTTCTCTTGAAACAAATCCCTAAATATGGCCAACTATCCTCATCGCGTAAGAATCGTGTCATCCACAGACCATACCCCCTTATCACGTAGGAGCCGTGTCACCCCTTAGATAACCAGCCTTCCTCATCATGTAAGAAACGTGTTATCATCCCTAAAGATGGATTGCCATCCTCATCACGTAGGAACCGTGTCATCCACCAACCAGACCTCCTCATCACGTAAGAGTCGTGTCACCCTTAGAAAACCAACCGCCCTCATTACGTAGGAACCGTGTTATCACCCTCCCTAAAGATGATCAAGATGTCCTCATCACGTAGGAACAGTGTCATCCATCGACTATATCTCCCCATCACGTAAGAGTCGTGTCACCCTTAGACGACCATAACTCTTCATCACGTATGAGCAGTGTCATCCCCACCAATAAACATATCCATTTTTAAGCAAAAAAGAGATCCGGACAAAAAATGGTTGCCTTTTTCGTCTTTGCCCTATTCTTGTTAACACAAGAATGTGCAAAGAGGGGCAGCTGTAGATACCCGTTTTTGTCTAGGTCTACAAAATTATTATTATTATTATTTATTATTATTGTTTACTTATTTTCTTCATTTACTTTTGTAGGCTTAATACTTGAAGCCCAAATACAAGCTTAACCCGAGGCCCAACAAAGGCCAACCAGCAGCCCACAAAATAGTGCCCAAACATAATCTAACAGCCCAATTACAGTACCATAACCCAGATACCAACCCACTGGAGTCATACCCAGTTCAGATCTGAACCGACCCAACTAAACCCTAACCCTAGGGTATCTCAGAAGTTAGCTATCGCTTCAGTTCCCTTAGGCACGAGAGCTTCATGCGTTAACTTTTCAGCTCCAACAGTCGCTCAAGCTGAGCCTCCCCTCGTCGGCAGCCTCTGACGTTGATGTTATCACCTACAGTGACCGAAAATACATTAAACAGAGAGAAATCTCATCCAAAGTCAGAAAAACCCAATAAAAAATAAAAAAATCCAAAAGAAATCCCAAGGCAATATATCCTCTGTCATGGTTATATCATATCCATCAACAACAAAAGCAATCAGGCATGCAGGATAAAAAAGGGGAGGAGATTAGAAAATGAGGATATTTTTTTTCGAGAGAGAAAGAGGAGGGAAAAACCGAGAGAAAAAAAATGATTTTTAGGGAGAAAAAATACAGAGAGAAGTGTGAGGATATTTGGAGAGGGGGAGATGAGCCCAAAATAACAAAGGAAAAATAAAGAACAGTGAGAAAAACTTTTACCTTTGATCTGAAGAACGTGAGGAAGCTCGAGGGTCGTCGAGACTTTGGTTCTTCGAAAGGTATTATCCTAGATCTAGATTCCTATGGTCGATTTTAGGTTATATTGGGATGAGATTTGGTTTGAGGAGGATGAGGGGAACCATTTGGCGTGGTTCGCTCTGTCTGGCCACCGTCGATCGCCGTGAGCGCCACCGACAGCGGCGATTGATACCCTCTCTGATAAGAGAGTTGAGAGATTTCTCTCTCACTCTTTCTCTCTGGTTTTTCTAAAACAAAGACAAATGAAGGGGGATGAGAAAGATAAGCCCATTTTTGGGCTTATATACCCTGACATAAACGCTAGCGTTTAGGGAAGGGATTGTTTGTAATTTCAGCATGGGTAAATTACATTCAAGGGGCCTCCGTGTTTTGTAAATTTTGTGTATGGGCACTGGTTGTATTTTATTCATTTTGTATTTCATGCCCTACGTTTGTAAAGTTTGCATCTTGGTCACTAGGCTATTTATTGTTACTATTTTGTAAATTTATACATTGTATCCTATATTTATGAAACTTTTATTTTAACCACTGCTCTTGTATTTTGGGTTAAATATTGAACATGGCAGAAAAATTTTGTATTTCCTTATTTTAGTCCTATGTTATAAGAAAATGGAAATTTACATATCTAGTCCATAAGATTTTCTTGATGTAATTTTAGTCACTGATCAGATTTAGTTTGGGTTATTTGTTTGTTTGGCCCCTATTATGTTATTTTTTTATGTCCTTTGCTAATTATATGCTTAATATTTGAATCCTTATGTTATGTTTTATTTTATTTTATTTTATTTTACCTTTGTTTTTATGAATGATTTTTATGGTATATTTATACACACATATATTACTTAATAGTTTCTTTATTGCTAAGCTTAGTTGTGTTTTATTTCGTTTGATACGCTCAGTTTTCTTAATATATACATTCAAAATTATTTTCAAGAACACATATTTGTAGAATGGGCGTGGAAAGTATCATTTGATCGGAGTGGTACAATCTGATACGACGTTCGAACGAAATGACACTTGAAATAAATCTAGTTTATTTTACTAATTAAATCTTTTGCGATTCAAGGCGTTTGTATGTAGCAATTTATTTGGTTGTTTGCAAGTTGTAGATATTCGATTTTGCACTTTTTAAATAAATGAGGAGGGAATATTCTTTTGCAAATAAGAAATAGACAATATAGTTTTCACGATGGAGGATTGCTAATCTCGATATTTCTTTTCAAGTTAAAGAATTTTCTCTAATTAGTTAATCCGAAGCAAATTAATCAATGTTCGATAAACATATCATATTTTAACTTTATATTTGATTCGCAACGTCCACCATTACAACAACGTGTAAGCAACTGAGTACCAATTTCGGGCGTTGTGAGGGTGTTAATCCTTCCTCACGCGTAACTGACTCCCGTACCCTTTAAATCAAATTTTTGGTAAACACAAACTAATATTTGTCTTACAAAACGAGTTTTCTTAAAATTGTTGTAAAATACGTTTTTAGGTATTCGATCTACCTAACCTAAATAGGAATGTGCATGGGTTAGGTTGGGTCGGGTTTTTAGTTCACCAAACCCGACACGACCCGACCAAAACAAGATTTCACCCGACCCGATATATAACTTAAAAACCCGACCCGACCCGACTCGACCCGACCCGAAATAAAAAAAAATATTTTTATTCAATAAAAACAATGACTTAATTGAAAAAAAATAATATATAGGGGGTATTATTATAATTGTTCCTAGATATATATAAGATAAACTTATATATATTTTTCGGGCCGGGTCCGGTATTTTTCACCCTAAACCCGACCTTATCCAAACATCACATTAAAAAAATCCGACCAGAACCAAAATTAAAAATAAACCTGACCCGATTGGGTCAGGTCGAAACCCGTAGGATTCGGGTCCCATACCCATCCCTAAACCCAAAGATCGATGACTACTCCTATCAATTTCATACAAATCAATAATAAATATCAAAATTTCAAAATTAAAGTCGTTTTTTAAAATCATATTTAATTATTTTTTTCAAAAAAAAAATGATTATCACAATATTAATTTAACATGATAATTATACATTTTCGTGCCTAAATTTATTTTAAAGTCCGATTTAGTACTTATTTTTTTTTATCTTATCGGGTATTGAATTTGACCTTTTGATTTAAACGGATACTAGAGTGACATTTTAGTCTAAATTTATACTTATATTAAATAATTTATTTGAACAACGAAGACAAATTTAAGTATTAATTTAAATAAAAATAACTTTAATATCTAACTAGAACACACAAATTTAGATACTAAATTGAATATTAGTATCAAATTAAGACACCAAAGCATAGAATTATCCAACTATCTTAAAATATGGTTTGATATGCTTATTCCACCCATTGTATCTTGCTTATTTTAAAAGTGTATTATAAGTTCCGAGAAACAACTTGTCTCAATTGTTAAATAATAATTATTATTTTTAAATAATTTAAATTTGAGCATCAGAGATTATATAATATTTGAGTATTCATTATTAAATACTTAAAAATATTTAAAATAAATAAAACCACTTATAATTCCGTAGAATAGTAATAATAATAAAATAATATAAATTGTGGCAGAGTACCAGCTTTACAAACCGAGCTTATAAGTCTTACAATAGAGCGTGCACCACTTGATTGCACAAAGTCAAAATCTACCCTTTTAAAAAGCTGTAAATCTCTGAGCTCTTAAGTCGTACTCCATTTACTTTATAAATACCTTCAAAGCTTCAACCCACCCTCTCCTCTCCCTCACTCTTCCCTTTACCCTTCGATTCCAGGTCCGTTTGCTACTACGGCAGCCATGTCGGCTTATTATTACTCCGGTTTCCCAGATAACCATGAAGCTCACTACCTCGATTCCTGCTCCGTTTGCGGCAATTCGCTTCGCAATTCCGATATTTTCATGTACAGGTCAGTTGTTTTCTTCATCACCAAATCGATCTCAAAACTTCAGATCTCTTTGTTTGTTTGTTTTTTCTGATGGCTAATTGTTGATTGCAGAGGGAACACGCCGTTTTGCAGCAAAGAGTGCAGACAAGAACAGATGGAGGTCGATGAAGCGAGTGAGAAGAGGTTGAAATCCGGTAGATCTATGAGGAAATCGGATTCCAAGAGTTCCACGCCGCCCAACAAAACTGTACGGACGGTGATTGTTACGGTGTCGTGACGACGATTGCCTGTGCTTTTGATTCTGTGGTGTAGAGTGATTTGGTAGCGTCAATTTTGGGGTTGGGAATGACGAAACAAAAGCGAAAAACAAGATGATCAGAAACAAGGAAAAAGCTTCGATGGGATTCGTTTCTTGTCAATTGATCTTCTTTTTTCCTGGGGTTTGATGGTTTTGAGGCGTGGATGTTTATATAAGGAGGAGGGGAGGGATCCGATTGTGCAGTTTCTCATCAATGAAAAGTGTTCAAAAGGATTCATAATTTTCTGGATATTTCTCAGAATTTCCAAAGATGCATCTTTTGATATTTGAATCAAGTTTAGACTTATTATGGAGTATAATAACATATAAACTATTAAATTAAATCTAATAATTAATTTATATATTAAATTATAGTTAATGTAATATTAAAAATAAAAAATGAGATTCAGATTTTTATTGAATTAAATAGATTAAAACTTAAAAAAATCATCAAATTATGTAATGATTTGTGGTATTATTTAATTAAAGAATAAAATTTAAGGTGAAATACATGAATGTTTCTCGATTATAATATATTATTTTATTAAGTCATTCGACTATGAAAAATTATAAAATAGTCTTCTGACTATAGCGTGTTATTTTGTTGGTCTCTTAACTATCAAAAGTTGCAAAATATCATTTTCTGTTAAAAAAATTAACGTTATTCTGAGCTGAACGTTAACTTACTGACTATGATATGTACAATCTGATCACAAAATCTCAAACTAATATCACATCTAAGTCATCATGTTAGCATCTAGCTTTTAGACAACCGTCAATTTTTTAACGAGAAATAACAAGTTTAGAAAATAATGAATAGTCAGATGAATATTTTGTAACTTTTGATAGTCGATAGACTTAATAAAGTAGTACCCTATAGTATGGGGACTATTTGATGTACTTTACCCTTAAACTTATTAAATTAAACTAAGACTTAAATTAAATTAATAGAATGTGTAAGTAATAAAGATTGAATGTATATATCAATCTTTTAATTGCCACACTAACATTTCGTCAAAACATCAAATGTTAACAATAAGTTACTAAATTGACATTATTTAAATAATTAAATAATCTGATTTATAATATCAAAACATCGATACCTAGAATAAAATCTTTCTATAATCAAGTGATCATGAGTATAGTTTATTCATAACTTAAACTATATATGAAGAATGATCTAACTTTTGGTTTTAGTCTTTTAAGTATATAACAAATTACACTATTCAAATTACTTTATGTCGCGGTCATATTTCGGTTGGGCCCGAAATTGAGCTTTAACTTGGATTAAACGAATTGGAGTCGCCACTGATCATTTAAAAAAATATTTAGGTAGATCGGACACCATCTTACCTGATCTGTGTCTTTCCAGAAATGTGTCGGGTTCAGGAGTCGGTTACAGTCAAGGAAGGATTAGCACCCTTGAACCACCATTTCGGTACCAATTAATTTGTCAGTTGTCTTTATTTGCGAAAATTAAAATTCAAATTGAAATCTAAAATATTCGATTTAAATTACTTAACTTGGACTAGTTGGAGAGAAAAGGAAAAAATAAAATAAAAATAATAATAAATAAATAAAACATTAAAGAAAAATAAAATTAAATATAAATTAAAGAGAGGAAAAAATAAAATAAGAAATAAGTAAACAAATAATAATAAAATAAATAAAATAGAAAATAAAATTTAATAAAAAGAAAGAAAGATAATGAAAATAAAAACAAAATAATAAAAAGAGAAGAATTACAAAAGAGTTAAATATTGGAAAAAATAAAAAATAAAAAAGGAAATTGTTAAGAAAATACAAATTGCCAAGAAATCGAAAAATAAATAAAAAAAAGGCTCAAAATGCAAAAGAAAAAAAATAGTGGCCAAATCAAAAGAAAGGAAAAAAAAGGAGTATTGGCTAAATTAAAAACATGCAAAAATTATCTGGGCCCTTTTCGAATGAAACGTAAATTGGTGACTAAAACGTAAATATATTAAACTCGAAATCCAAATTGAAATGTCAAAAATTATATTCAGTGACTAAAAGGTAATAATAATAAATTACATGGACCAATTTGCATAGTTTACCAGTGCGTGAAAATGCACAGAAACCCCCTCATTGAAACTACGTCGTTTTGCCTAGCTTATATATTTGTTTCCCCTTAAGCCAAAATGGCTATTTTTTCCCATTTAATCACTTTGCTCTTTCTCTCTACAAATGAGAGAAAAACAATCTCTCTTCTTGCCTCTCTCCAAGGCTCTCTCAGGAGGGAGATCGAGCATCGGTCGCCCGCCTTTTGCCGGCACCGACAGCCACTGTCGGCCACCACGAACGGTGGCCGAAATTTAAAAATTCACCCCAAAACGTAGATCACTAAACCCTCAACCTGAATCCGAGCCCCACTTTTCCAAAAAGACTAACACCCGTTCTAGATGTAGGAAAATACCTATAAAAAAATTTAGGAGATCTGGTGGCCTTTCAACTCCTCAGTGGTATGAATTTTTCTGAATCTGGATCTGGTCTCTTTCATTTTTTCGGAATTTTTATAAGGCTTTATTTTGGTTGCTTGTGTTGTGGTTTTGGTTTTTTGTTCTCTGTGTTGTGTTGTGATATTTTGTGGCTCTGCTGGCTTGCCTTGTTCTTGCCATGGTTGTGTTCAATCCTTGATCGATGGTTCTTTGTTTTACTGGTTTTATCGATGATGTTCGGTGTTGGCTTTTGATGACACTTTCCATTGGTTCTGTCTCAAATAATGGTCGATAGGGGCCTGTGTTCCTCCCTCGATTATACTTCCTTCATCATTGTGCCTCACCGGGGGCTTTTTATAGCCCCGAAGGTGGTTGCTTGGTCTCGAAATGGTCGGGGTTTGTTGGCCATTGTGGGTTGACCGACTAAAGTGGGATGGGTCAGTCCCGATTTAGCCAGGGCTGGTTGTTTCGTGGTCGGATTTTTCGCCTAGTTGTTGATATGTGTGTTACTTGTTCTCCCATGCGGCGCTGATCAATTGTGGAACCCTAGTATGCTTTGGGCCCTTGGTTTACCCGATTCACACGTTGGGTACCCGATTTTGGCCTGCTTGGTCAGGCGGGTCAGAACCTGGATTTGGGCCCGTGCCTATTTAGACCCCTGTTAAACTTGGACTCGGAGATATTGGACCTGTACCAGAAAAACAAAATAATTTCAATTAGATTAAATGAATAAAAAAAATAAAAATATAATATAAATTATATAATATATATATATATTTCAAAAATATTTTTAAACTATATATTATATTTTTTAAAACGTTTTCAAAACTATATATTATATAATTTTTCAAAAATGTTTTTAAAACTATATACTATATAATTTTTCAAAAAATGTTTTTAAAACTATATACTATATAATTTTTCAAAAATGTTTTTAAAACTATATATTATATAATTTTTCAAAAATATTTTCAAAAACTATATATATATGTTTTCAAATGTTTTCAAAAACTATATATTATATATATTTTAAAATGTTTTCAAAAACTATAATATATATAAATTTTAGAAACCGTTTTTTGAAAATTATATATTATATTTTATCAAAAATATTTTCAAAAACTATATTACTATATATATATAATAAAATAAAAATATGTATATATATAAAAAACAAAATAACTCCGGGTGAAAATGAGTGTCTACAGCTACCCTTCTTTGTCCTATTTTTCGTTTTGTCCTTTTTCGTGGAATGAAAAATAGGACAAAGATAAAAAGACACAAATTTTCATTCGGTAGAGTCTGATATTTCAAGTAGGAATAACTCCCTGTCGAGTTGAGTTACGGATAACTCCTCCGTCGCGAAGCCGAGTCTATCTTGAAATGGAATTGAATTCGTAGCTCGGAATTTGAATTGAAATGTGGCTTTTCGTTGCCAAATTATAGTCAACTTCGGTCTTCTTCTTGGTTTAAAGACCTTGGTTAATGAATTTGACTGGAAAATAGTTCATTGACTCCACCATGTGGGTGATAGTCTCTCGAAATCGAACTCAAAAATCCTTGTTGGCAGATAGGTTTTCTCGACTTGAAAACCTTGACTGCAACCGAAAAGTAGTGTGATTGAGGTGTCATCGAACTGAATGGAATCGAACTCGACAATTTTATTGATAGATAACCCTTCTTGCCTTGAGCTATATTGTAAATTTGAGGTGCCTTTGAGCTGAGTGTAATCGAACTCGTAGGTCTTTGTTGACAGATAACCCCTTTAGCATTGAGTTATGTAATAAATGATATGCCTTTAAGCTGAACATAGTCGAACTCGAAGGTGTTTTGTTGGAAAATATCCCTTTTTTCCTTGAAATATGTTACAAATGATGTGCCCTCGAAGCTGAGTGTAATCGAACTCGAGCGTCTTTGGCAGATAGCCCTTCTTGCCTTAAGCTATGCTGCAAATGATGTGTCGTTAAGCTGAGCATAGTCGAACTCAAAGATCTTTTGCTGGTAGATAACCTTTCTAGCCTTGAGTTATGCTGCAAATGTTGTGCCCTCGAAGCTGAGTGTAATCGAACTCGAAGATCTTTGGCAGATAACCTTTATTGTCTTAAGCTATGCTGCAAATGATGTGCCGTTGAGCTGAGCGTAGTCAAACTCAAAGGTATTTTGTTGGCAGATAACCCTTCTAGCCTTGAATTATGCTGCAAATTTTGTTCCCTCGAAGCTGAGTGTAATCGAACTTGAGGGTCTTTGGAAGATAACCCTTATTGCCTTAAGCTATGCTGCAAATGATGTGTCGTTGAGCTGAGCGTAGTCAAACTCAAAGGTCCTTTGTTGGCAGATAACCCTTCTAGCCTTGAGTTATGTTGCAAATGTTATGCCCTCGAAGCTGAGTGTAATTGAACTCGAGGGTCTTTGGCAGATAACCCTTCTTGCCTTAAGCTATGCTGCAAATGATGTGTCGTTGAGCTGAGCGTAGTGGAACTCAAATCTCCTTTGTTGGCAGATAACCATTCTAGCCTTGAGTTATGCTGCAAATGATATGTCTTTGAGCTGAGCGTTGTCAAACTCGAAGGTATTTTGGTGGCAAATAACTCTTCTAGCCTTGAGCTATGCTGCAAATGATGTGCCTTGGAGCTGAGCGTAGTCGAACTTGAAGGTCTTTGGTTGACAGATAACCCTTCTAGCCTTGAGTTATGCTGCAAATGATGTGCCTTGGAGCTGAGCGTAGTCAAACTCGAAGGTCTTTGTTGACAGATAGCCTTGAGTTATACTACAAATGATATGCCTTTGAGCTGAG